ATATATGTAAATTATTCTTTTTTTTTACTCTCTCTTAAATATACGTTTAATGCATAAATGTATATATACATATATGTTCGTATATATATATATATTATATATATACGAACATATAGATATATATATATATATATATATATACATACACATATACGCTATATATATATATGAATATCTCTTGACTCTTATTCTAATGAATATAGATTATTTTATGTTTTTTTATTTTTTGCGAAAATTCACTCGATTCTTTTCTCTTCGTTCTCTTTACTTTTCATTAATAATATTAATAATAATAATAATAATAATAATAATAATAATATATTCATCGAGTATAATTCTTTTATCGCGTTCACAAAAGGATCAACTTTTCTGCAAACTAGGATAAAATGATATGTATTGTTGACAGCGGCACCAAAGGCGTTCAAATCTTGAGGAAGATTCTGTTAGAAGACGACGGATCCCGATTGTATTTTCCCGAGACTCGCATATCACCGATCCCGAACACACTTTTCGAAAACGTCCCCAGTCACCTCTTTCTCCCCTACACCCTAAATCCCGTTTTTCTCAGCTCTAATTCCTTCCTAGTTTCACTAAACTAATGAAACATTCCGGCACACGCAATTTTCTTTCTCACCCTTCCCTCTTACTCCTCTCTTTCGTTTTCTATCTCTCCCATTCGTACTCTTTCTCTCTCTCATACACTATCTATCTATCTATCTTTCTCTATCTAGTCTCGCATTCGTTCTATTTCTCTTTCTTTCTCTCTCTTTCTCTCTTTCTTTCTTTATCTTTTTTTTCTATCTCTCTCTCTCACTCCCTCCCTCTCTACACACACGGTTTCCGATGCTACCCCGAGTCACATTTTAGTGCGACACACGACTTAGCAGTGGTTCGCGCGGGGTTACACTTCTCTCTCTCTCCGTCTTTCTCGCGATTCTGCCATCCCTATTCAGCTAAATCAAGGTGTTATCCCCCCTATCACCCACCCTCCCACCATTTCAAATCATCCCTGCCATCTACCGTCTCGTTTAGCTTTTTCTTCCCTTCAGTCGATTTTCCTATGATGGTACCTCCATAGGGGGTCATCCCTACCAACCGTAGCGCCCTCATGCATTCCACCCTCGTCCTATCTTCCTATCCAATATATATCTACCTATATATATATATATATATATATATATATGTATGTATACCGTAAGGGTAGTTTTTTTGACTACTTTCTATGATGTCGTCATTGGACAAGATCTGTTCCAATTTTTATTCTATTTGGTATACATTTCAATCAATGATTTTGTTAAATATATAGTAAGTTATATGTTTGACATTAAAAACTTAAAAGCAGATTCACTGTTCATGGATCCTAACCTATTTAAAAGATACAAGGATTCAAACGTATCTCTGTCCATAGGACTTTTGTATTATCAACGTAGGCGTATTTAGCGTAGCTAAGCTACCCTCTCCTCTCCTCCACCCCGTATACTACTCTACTCTCTTGACCTTTCAATGCTTTTAACACAACGATGTTGTAATCTATAATACTGTCCTGCAGGATTCTGTTATTTTCCAAATGTATATTTATTATTTATTCCCCAAATAGAAATACAATACATTTTATATGGAAACCATTTCAAATGCTTTATTAGATTATTTTCTTAGAGGAACATTTTCGCGTCATTTTTACATTCATCTATTCTAAAAGCCAAGCATCAAGTTTTTTCAACAAATGTCCCCTTCGCCACTTGTTTCGGTATTATCCCCCACCAATCCTGAAAAAGGATTCTTCTATTGACGTTACACCCCCGCATGACTTTACTTTCTTACTCCCACTATCTTTCTCTCTCTCTCTCTCTCTCTCTCTCTCTTTCTCTCTTTTCAAAACTAGCGCACCCACGCGTATGCTACCCTTCTTGTGTGCTGTAACCAAAGATTGACGTAACATCGTGTTACGTCAGAACGCCATTTTATACGATGACGCTTTCATGTTTTCCATATGCAAATATTTTTCATTATTTATTTCTTCTTTTCTTCATTTTTCATCTCTATTGAAAATTACAATTGTCAAAAGTCTTAAGATCTTCCATTATTTCTTTTCTACTATCGTAGATATTACTATCGTAGTAATTCTCATAAAATTCGAATATTTCCTTAAGGATAATATTTTTTTTAATCAAGATTATATATTGTGAGATATATTACAGTCGTATTTTATCGTGGAATTCATGAATATTCCAACAATAAACGGAGAATAATTTTATCCTATAAGAAATGTATATTGCACCGTTGATTATTGACTTTTACTACTGGCATAATACTACCTAACATTAAAATTTTCTATTTTGATTTGTAGATTATGCGAATCTTCAAGATGTCGCTACGTTACGGCGTCAATACCGACATGTTAGAAGGTGATCATGAAAATGAACAAATATTATATATAATCATATATATATATATTGTTTACTACAAAACTTATTTGTTAATTAGCTTAAAAAATTATTTAAATATTTCGAAAATTATCTCTTTTTACAATAGAGAAATATTATTAAATTAATAAACATAAAAAAATAAAAAAACAGACAAATATAATATAATATTAATTTCGAAATAAGTTTAACGCTATATATCAATTATACAATTCTGTTTTATCAACATAGTTTATCCGTAGAGTTTATCTAAATAATAGAAGAACGCTACATGACCGACGAGAATGTACAAGATAGTTCCAACTTGTGGCAACTTGAACAAGTGATGGCGCTATTTACGAACAATTAAGGATAGATTTGAAATGCTCCTCCGATAAGTTAAATTTTCAACGTACTAGCGATACCAGTGTTCACAAATTGTACTAGATTGTACAATAATATGGCCGACACTTGCTTTATAAAGTATCAGCAACGTAACAAGCGTATTAATCCTTATGAACTTTTCATACGCTCTGCATATTCGAGAGTCATCGTTTGGAAATCGCGGTATCAGAAGTACTCATCTAGATTCACTGAAATAAATTCATGGGAAAAACGTCAGTCTATTAGAAAGGGTTGGGAAGGTATCAAATCGTCAATAATACGGTGACAAAAGTTCTCACGTACTTTGGAACTTGTTAAGGCTAGTGTTGGTCTCATAAGAAAGTACAGTAGGGATTGTATTAACGGCTAAGAAGACGATGGAATACGTGTTAATAAAAGACATAAGACCTGGCCAGAAAAATATAAATGTAGTGTTTATCATTTTGGAGGTTGGCCATCCTACAATCACCAAAGAAAACCGCGAAGTTCGAACATTCAAAGTTGCAGATAGTACAGCCTGTATGAATGTCTCCATTTGGGATGAACCTGGTCAGCTGTTAGTTCCCGGTGATATTGTTAGATTAACCAAAGGATATGCCTCCGTCTGGAGACAATGTTTGACCTTGTATTCGGGAAAAAATGGAGACATTCAAAAGATTGGAGAATTTTGTATGGTCATAAATGAACAATTAAATATGAGCGAACCAAATCCTGCTTTGGCCCAACAATTGATTAATCAAAGTGGATCGGGACCACCTGGTAATAACGTTAACAGTACGATAACAAACAATGGAAATGCGACTATCATCCCTGGCCAACCTGGACGTCAACCTTTGGTAAGTTATCGTTAAAGAATTATTCAACTGTTATTGTTATTTTTCTTCTTATCCTTGTCAGAAATCATAGCGATACAAAGTAGATAAGGTGGAAGGTTTATATAAAGAAATGAACTTAAACTTAATCCATATAATTAAATACTTTACAGGCTGTACAAAGTAACGTTGCTGCGACGGCGACAGCAGCAGCTGCAACAGTATCTACGACCGGTACAATTGGAACTCCAGCGACTACGGAAAAAAGAGGAAATATCGGTAATGGGGGTAGCGGAAATAATGGAGGCAATAATAGTGGAGGATCAGGTTTACCTGGCGGATCTGCCAGATATTCTAGCAATGAATCTACCACAAAATCTACAACCACCACGAAAAGTAATTCGCGAGGCCGTGGGGGCTATAGAAATGGTAGTCGCATTGATCGCAGATAACATATGTCTAAAATACCAATAACATCATACGCGTTATTATGAAGCACACAAAGACGCAACATCCAACACGATTGTAATATAAAATGTTTTTTCTAAGATTTCTCTATATCTATCTATATCTCAGTTCTTACGAGACAATGTAACAATTATATACGTTCAAATGAACATATATATATAATTGTACGCATTTGAGAGCAATTATGCCAAAATTACCTTAACATTTTAATGCAATTTAAGCAAGATAAATCGTTTTTAATTCATTTCAATATTAGATAATATTGGAATAATATTATCAAGTACGAGTACCCTCGAAACAGAAGTATTTCTTCTTTACTCTTAGTACTTATTTCATCAGTTAAGTTTCAATTGTGTTCAATAACAGAGATATGTAATTTAATTCATTATTTTATTAGATTACAATTTCATCACATCAATTGAATTCATTTTATTATGCATTGAAAATCTTGCAATAAAATATATTCAAGAACAAATCATAAGGAAACTTTCCTTTCTATTAAATCTCCGGATTTGTATTATAGTAACTAATATATTATAAAATTAGTTTAGTTTGTTAATATTCATTTGAATTAAATAATTATTGTAAATAGTTTTAATTATTCAATGTAGTTTTGTAACATTTATTTCAATACATTTGAATATAATTAACAAGAAAGATTAACCTCTACGTTTGACAGAAGTACCACCAAACGTAACAAAAATCCCTATTTGATGAAAGCTATACATATACATATCTACAAAGGAAATGTATTTATCTTACACAACTGCCATTTGTAACCTGAATTACCGACAGTGCAACGATTCGTATACATCATTTCGTACATGTAGTAGTGTACTTTGTAAGATAATCACTTTGTTGTGTATATATATATATATATACAACTATTCCAAATGAGATGATGACGATAATATAAGAAATATAAAACGTTTTGTTATTTGCCAATACAAAAATGTGTAAAAATTTTATTTAATATTTCATCGTTGTAAACATGGCCAGTTATCATTCCAAGTTCTCTCATGGCAAATCGTATTTCTTCAACAGCTATTACCGCATCGTAATTTTCATTTGATACCATTTCAATATAATTCTGCAGATTTTTTAGACACTTTGATAAATGATTTCTGTATCTATTTTGACTAATTACTGGATCTTCGTTAAATGTATTACAACATCTGTAAAAATTTTATTAAATTTAATTATATTATATATTAATTCTCTCCTATTGTAACTGAAAATTATTTTCATTGGTATAACGAATGACACAGTCATCGTTTCAATATATAAAAATGTTTATGTCATACATATTTCGGTATACTTACAATTCTTGACAACAATCTATCATAGTCTTATTTATATCCGAAAGACCTTCTTCCGTTAGAAACGAAGTTGCGACTACATTTTCCTTTTTTATTAATTCTTTATCTTTTTCATTCAAAAGATCTATTTTATTTGCAATTACGATACATCTCTTTTTACATTCGTCCCTTAATAATTCATTTAAGTTCATATTGTTAACATATTCCTTCATGTAATTCGAGTACGTCATTCCAGATTGTAGATATTCGCGTGAATCTATGACTAAAATGACCAGATCCACATTTTCTGCGTACGCTTTTGCTCTAATGATACCTTCTTTTTCTACAGGATCAGTAGGACTTTTAGTAAATCCTGCGGTATCTGCTAATATCATTGGATAACCGGAAATATTGATTTTTAATTCTATAATATCTCTGGTAGTACCAGCGATAGGTGACACTATGGCAGCATTTCTTTGAACCAAATAATTCAGTATCGTACTTTTGCCTACATTTGGTTTTCCAATAATAACCGTTCTTATTCCATTACGTAAAATTTCGCCACTTCTATTATCCGAAAGATGTCTTTCAATATCATTGATAAGAGATTTAATAGAAGAATGACAATTTTCTAAGATATTATCTTCAATATTATCCTCTTCATTAAAATCAATATAAGCTTCTAAATTGGCGATAATATTAATAAGCCTTTCTCGCCAATTTTTATAAAGTTTACTCAAACGTCCACTGGCTTGTGACAATGCTTGTTTCCTTTGTCGTTCTGTCTCAGCTTCTATTAAATCCGCTAAACCTTCTATCTCAACTAAATCCAATTTATTATTGTAAAATGCTCGTCTAGTAAATTCTCCTGGCAAAGCTTGATAAAAATTTAATTTAGATAATGCATTCATCAAGGAACTCAATATCGCTGGTCCTCCATGAACATGAAATTCCACGCAATCTTCACCTGTGAATGATTTAGGTCCTAAAACCAAAACAACATCAACATAGAATATTTCTAAACATTTGTCATTTGTAAATTTGTTTAAGAAAACCAAACTCACCAGGAAACCATAAACATAAACCTTTATCTATTACTTCTTTTGTTTCAGGATCTAAGATCTTTTTTAATACAGCTTTTCTTGGTTCTACATTTAATATCGTGGTCATTTTATTTAAAGCATTTATTGCATTTCTACCAGATATTCTGACAACGGCTACGCCACATTTACCATGACCTTAGAAATAAAATAATTCATTTTTATTACAAAATATTTTTCACTTATTTCTATTATATGGCAAGTATGCATGAGCATTTAAATATACACATTTAAATACACATATATATACATATATATATATATATATACATAACCAGATGAGAGAGCATAAATCGTTTCGTGTTTTCTTTCTGCCGTACAAAATGTCACAGAATGTCTCATAAATGATCTAACAGACAAAATCATTTGCAAAGCTAATCCATTGTTAGGTAATCGTGACATTACATTGATTAGAAGGCTTTTCATTTTTAAATAATTAATAGAACAAGTGTTTTATGATACATGTCAACACAACTAGTAGTAACAAGCATGCTTTTCGATGTAAACATTCGTGTAGTTTTTTTTTACAGATTTCTACCGTACCGATAAAACATTGTTAACATTCGAATCAATGAAGTTTATTATCTTATCATAAGTCGATAAAGATTTATCTTCGATTTCGATGTTTTTTTTCTTAAATATCGATATGTATATAATCGAAGAGATAGAAAATTTATTCAAATAAATTTGTAAATGTCATTTTCGAAAAAGTATGAATAATTTTGATCATGGGTTATCTATTTAACCAAGATGAGAATTGCTACTCTATATATAATCTAGTAACTATAAATACTTTTAATCAAGACCTGTAGATGGCACTGTGATAGAAAACAATCAAACATTTCCTGTTTCTAGTAAATTATTGTCTAAAACATTTTAAATGGCGACGATGTACATTTTCTACCAGTTAATAATCTTTCAATAGAATAAAAACTACAAGGTGTTCAAATTGTAACATTAGTATAAGAGATTTGTTAAATAATTATCATATCAAATGAAATATTAATAAAGAAAATATTTAAATGGTGTATCGTTTATAGCTGAGTATTTTTCTTATACTTGCTTTGATTTAGTCAGTAAGAAATTATTCATATTTCCGTTGGATTTCAAGTTAGTCGTCTTGTTTCATATCAATTTCGGTTATTTTTTAATTATATATAGATATATTATTACTAGCTTGTTTACAATTAATGTTTTAGAGTTTACAAAAAAAAAATAGTTTTATTTGTTAACTAATATGTTTAAATAAATATTTATTTTATTTGAGAATAAAATTAATAAAAAGAAATAAAGGAAACAATGTCACAAATATCGAGGCAAAGGAGGTTCAAAAGAGCTGCTCTGCTCACCAAAAGATCCCAATGTTTAGGAAGGTATCCCAGGAACAGAGGCTGCATGGCATGTGAGTATTTAATAAATATATATTTATATATTTAAATAATTCTTTTACTAACCAATAATTTTATTCTTTCAGCATACGAATATTTAAGAAGTAACAACAGTTGTTTAGCAAAGGCTCTTTCTAAACAAAAAGAAAAACGACAACTCTTATTCTCACAAAATGTTGCTTTATTAGCAGAAGTTCAAGATTTGAGTTCAGCTTGTATTAAACGCGAAGTAAATTTAAAAAATAAAAAATAAATCAAACACGAGAGAGATGTAAGTACCATTCTTTCTTGTCGTTAATTGTCGTTTTTTTTTCTTTTCAGAATACGATAATTAATGCATTACAAAATGCTAAAGAAATGCTCAAAATGTTAGTCTCATTGACCCAATTTGTAACACATACAATCGCTTCCTGTCAAGAATTTGCATCTTCCACGAATACGAGCGTACGAATGTCCTGCAATCCATTTTCTAGTAAGGAAATTTTTTATCTGAATGATACAACTCATAAGCTTAATAATCACTTATCAAAGAATTATTTGTTAGAAGGAGAAAATACAAGGATGTCAGTTAAACAACCAACTAAAGGAATAGTTAAACCAATGGTAAGTGGGCATACGATAACAAAGCCCACTATTAATTTGAGTCGAGTAAATATGCAACGTTATAACAATTCAAACAACTTGAGTACTATAGAAGAAGTATCTTCACCGGTTGTGATATCTCCTCCAAATTCAAGTACAAACGAGGATAGCTCTTCTACTTCTGTTTCTTTTAGAAGACGAGCAAGAAACGTACGTTACAATAACACCAATAACATTATCAATATATCATAATTGATTGGATAATATTGATAATGAACTATTAATGCATCATTTATTATTTCAGGCCGATGGTCGCATTTGTAGAATGCCAGAAAGGTTGAACATTTCTTCCCCCAGAACTAGCGGTATGAAATATTATGCTAAATGAGCCGTTCAGTGGACACATCGATTAACTCCATAAAGCAAAATGTTGAGAAATACGATGAAATAATGTATATTGTTATATTATTTATTATTTATATTATTTATTATGTTATATTATTTATTATTCAAGAAAGTTATGATTATACCAAGTGCTTTGACACTTAAATTTAAGATTTTTCAAAAAGTGGATTTAATCGATGTGTGCTTTGAACGGCTCAAATAATATAACAAATAGAGAGTTATTTAATTTGTTATTTTTAGATGAAGATGAGCGACGATTTAGTAAACGAAAAAGTAGGCATTCAGGAAAACCACCTGAGAAACGTTCAAAATCCAAGTCTAATAGATTGTCGGCATCGATGAATGGAGAAAGCACTGATTTGATGACAAGTGTCCGTGTCATGTTGAACGATGTTTCCAATTGTTTACAGAATTCTCCAACTATTAATATTCGAAGGGTTTGTTTTTTCCCTTATTATGGTTAAATAATTATTAATATTTATTATTGAATGTTATTACATATGCCTTTTTATTTTGAACAATAGCTGAGTTCGACGAAATATAACGTCGCTAATGGTAATAACATAGAAATGAATAATTCGACGAATAATGTATCTGATCGACGAAATAAAGATGTTATAATTATTTCGAAAAGACAATTATCGACAGACTTTTCGGATGAAAATAGTAATAACACTGTAGAAAATAATAATACAAGGATTACAAATGAACAGCCCGAATTAAATGTTCAAGAAAATAGCAGAGATGATAGTCTTCATGAAGTATCCAACGAGAACGATCCACTCGAAGGTCCAAGCTGGTTATTAGATAGTTATAATAGTAACTCATCTTTGATATCAAATACAAGGATAAATAGTAGTAGCGAAGTAAAGGATTGTAATAATAAAAGAGACGATACTAATAAGACTTCCACAATGCAATGCAATAGCGATAGCGATAGTGAAATCGATAGTGATAGCAATAACAACGAAGAAGATAATAACGTATCTAATAATTCCAATTGTAAAAAAACATTATATAAATCTTGTCATTTGGAAAAAGGAGATGATGTTTTAAATTATTTTGAAAAAGACGATAACAAAATGGAAGAACATAATAATATCAATAAGGATGGATTTGTGACACAAAAACGTGGAAATTCTATCGAAGTTATGGACGAAGATATCGACGATTTTACTTTAATGCATATGCGACGAAAAGTTAAAAATGTATCTTTTGATATAAACGATTTAAAATTGCCCGTTTTAGAAGATACCGTTGTAGAATCCGTAGTTAAAACAGAAATGGAACCTGAGATGACGGAAAATTTAGGAAATTTGCAGGATATTAGTGAAATTCCATTGATCTTTAATAATAATATCTGCAATGATGATGATTCATTGATAGAACAGAATACGGTTAAACTTCCTCCACTTTCAAATACTGCTATCGATTGTACGATACCAGTGGTAGATATATCATTTGATAAACATCGACAAACAAAATTAAGAAAAACAAGTCAATCCTTGAACATAGGTCATCATTTTGAAAGTATAACTTCACGTAAGACGGGCACAAAGAGAAAAGAGAAGAAATCTGTAAATAAAAAAGATCCAAGTACCGCCAAAGTTATATTACAAAAACTTCCGCGTGATAAAGATTTACACGCTAAATCGCAGTCATTTTCCTTAGAAGAAATATTATCACAGAATTCTAGCATTTTGTCGTATGTATTATTATTACATTTTTTTTTTCTTTTTTACATTCGATCAATATCCATCTCTCATTACTTTATTATTATTCATCATTATTAATATTCCTTATTTAAGAAATATTCACTTAATCTTTTAAACAGACAAAAGACCCTACATTCTCCATCGTTGAAAAATTCTAGTGATTCTGAAAGTGATACAGGAAGCACAAACTTAAGTACTTCTTATGAACGTCCTAAAAGACAAAAGGCACCACAAAATCTTAAGGAACCAAATTTGAGAAAGTAAGTAATGCATCATTATAACTAAATTCATTATATTACTTAATTAATGTTTGTTTTTTTTTTTTTTATTGTAGAAAGTTAAGAAGATACAAATGAATATTTATATATATATATATCTATGTAAAAGAACAAAAAGAAAGAAGATATTTAAGAAAATATTTATAAACAGTAAAATACAATGCAAACAATGTGATTAAACACTACAAAGTGATGAAATATGCTGTTAAACACAAATGACCCTCCAATGACTGCGATTTAGCGTGTAAGTCTTTATCACGTGGAAGTTTTTGTAGTATAACTTTAGCGGTGCTTGGATCTTCTTTTTATTTCAAAAGTTTCATCTCTTTCCTCTTTTTTACCGCTTTTCGTGAAGTTATACTTTCAAAATGTAAAAAAAATACAATGTAACATATAATGTTAGAACAGCACATTTAATCACTTTGTAGTGTATTTTGCTGAACTTTTATAAGAAAAAAAATTCATCATTACAATAGATTTAAAAAGAGATAATATTATAATAACTGTGAACATTATTCTATAGTAATTATGTAATATTTAATAAATGTATTTTAACAGTTACTAAAAATTACAATAGCAATAAAATGACAAAAGTTGGACAAATTCTTCTATAAAATAAAATCATATAAATCGCATTTTACTGTAAAGTAAATCAAACGAATATATGTAATACAGTAATTTTAATAATCATTTCAATTCAATGAAAGTTTCTGTAAAATATTTGTGCCCATAATTATGAAAGTGATCTAAGTCAAAATTAAAAAAAAAAAAATTATTCTCCTCCACTTCTTCTGATTGATCCTCTGAAATATCTGTTAGTCCAATTTCAGGATCAAAATTATCTTGGTCGATATACGAAAGGTCTTCTCTTATATTTTTTGTCTTCTCAAATTTTAGGTATTTTCATACGTCTCGGCATTTTTAGGATAAAGTTACAAAATTAGATCAAAATTGTAGATTAATTATACACACCTGCTCGCTGTATCCTTATATAATATATAGAACAATAATTCGTTATATTTTCTCTCTCTATTCTCTTAACACGGTATAACCGTCTCTCTTTTCAAAATTTTCAATTTATTTTATTTATTTTACTATTCCTTCTTATCTTCACTAACCTTTTTTTTATTCTGTTTCTTCTATTCTGTTTACTTTATGTATTTATCACGGTATAACCTTCATCTTTTTTTTTTCAAACCTTTTAGTTAATATTATGTTTATGTTGTCACATTTAACTCTCTCACAATAATCTACTTTCGATGATAAATTCGAAATACATGAATATCGTCTAAAGGAAAACATTTTACAAATTTTAATATAGAAATTAAATCCATTAGTCAATCTCATAGTCTTCGTAGGAGCATTTTGACGCATGCGCAGAACTATCACGTGACTTCGGTACCACCTTTCGGCACGCTCGTAATTTAAATATGAATAATTTAAAACTCACGTCTTATTATTCTTTTATAATTAAATATGAAGAAAAAAAATTGTTCTAAACTTTTGTAATATATTGTAATAATATTCTGAATATATTCGTAGAATAAAAACCATCGTTTTAATATTTTTTTATTGTTCTTGAAAAAAATTCTAAAATGAAAAAAGAAATAAATGAAGAAATGAGACTCGTTGTGTCTCAACAAACTCCGTATTTGTTTTAAATTTTAAAAAATACAACCTACCACAATTTCATTTAATTTTGCAAGGTTTGAAGTAATAAAAAATATATTAAAAAAAAAAAGACTATATATATATTATGCAACAACCTCTTGAATAAAGGGTATATTTTTATACAACGATTTACAACATTGCTAACTACATAATAACAAATACAATGATAACTCGCGAATCATGCGGTTTTATCGTTCTTATTTTTAAGTACTTATTACAATTCTTTATTTTCGTTCTGTTATTCCTATATTTGTGTTTTAGTTTATCTACATTTTCTAATAATAGATATTTCAAGCGCAAAGATTCCTGTTAATTTTCTCTCGAGGAAGAAGAATTTGGTTCGTCGAGATAAGCAATTATTTTCTTATTTTTCTTTGACAAAAATTAACTTTAGACGAATATTTATTTAATAGAGATTTAATAGAGAGTATAAGATTTATAGAGATATCTATGAAATCACGTTATCGATATCGTCATAGTCAAATGTTCAATCAAAAGAGAAGAAATTCGTCAGAGGATAACTAAGGAGCACTACTCTAAGCGATCAACATACTAATTACGATCATATTAATTATTTTACATAATTATCTATCATCGCATACATTCAAAATACGTGTCTTGTAAATAATTGGAATGTGAACAATAGTATTCAAATGAAATATTCAATAAAAAGAATTTAATTAAAATTTTCCTCGCGTTGGTACGTGTAATTATCAAGGAACGAACACCCCCCCCCCCCAAACCCCCAAAAAGAAATAAAAATCTTTAGTAATAATTAATAAAAAAATATAAAAAAAAAGAAGAAGATCATTTTAAAATTGTTATCATATATTATTATTAAATAAAAAATAAAGATATTTTTTCTAATCGAAGATGTTCACTCATCAGAAACGATGTACGTAGTTCTTTCCATTTATTATTAATTAATTGTGCTTTTTCTTTTCTCTTTGTTTTTTTTTTTTCAAAAGCCGTAGATTTTAGATTCTCACTAGTTAAATTTTGTTCTCGGTTTATACCCATAGAAATCTATGTTTATACCGTCGGGAAAAAAACGGTATGACTTTGGTAAAAAAAATATCGCTGTTCTTTTATGTTTTCCTTCTTGTTTTTTCTTTTCCCTTTTTCTCGACTTCTCTTTTCTTAGGATTTCTATTTCTATCTTCCTCTCTCTTCAATCTTCTTCTTTTTATATATGGGTATATATCCGATTTGGCCCCACCTCCAACTACCTCCGGTGGATGCTGGAAGCCAATAAGATTAATATGTTCCCTACCCCTTTCCAAAAGGGCGTAGATTACATTTTGTATAAATACGTGTAGATAAGTTATGCTTAAACGATTCTCTGGTTAGAAATTCATCAAAACAGTGAGTCATATATATATATATTACTTTTAAATAATTGACTATAATAATTTATTAAATATGTCGAATAATACTTCCACCAATTTGAACGAAGATAATTAATCTGATATTTTAAATAATGATATTAATATATCTTGGCGTAGCAAAGAATTTATTGTAATTTTAAATAGTGACGAAGAGGAATCAACTTCAATAAAAAAGTGAGTATTAAAAGTATTAATAATAACTTAATTATAAAATCCATTGTTTACTACCTTTTATTTTTTTACTACCTTTTATGTAAATAGATGTATACATTAACGTAATTGCGATATTAAATTAAAATTTTTTTTTTTTACTTTTAGTTACACCCCAATTCTGCAAGTCTGTATTTATTAGCAGATGAAGACGAAAAAAGAATTGCAAGAACATATTTTAGTATAGATAAAAAAAAATATATAGACACAATTTTAGTAAATTTAGAAAGAAAAAATCTATGAAAACATTAAAATTTAATAATATGGAATCAGCAAAAACAAAAGACAAAGTAAAGTAATTGAGAAAAAGACCACACAAACATTACCGCATAACAAGAGACCGCACAAAGAGACCACAAAAAATATTAGATAATAAACTAAACTCTTTACCAGCGGAAGGATTTTACAAAATCTGCATGAATCACTTGTAGGCCAGCCTTCAGAAGACATAATAAGAGAAGATCCAGTTGGTTTAAAAATTAAACTAATGCCACATTAGCAGTATGCATTAGCATGGCTCAAGTGGAAATCCTAAAACTAAAACATTTGAAGCAGTGTGTGGTCTTTCAGCAGATAAAAGGTGGGTGGGCACTATCTGCTAGCCCAATACAAAATAAAGAATTTGATTTATACTCCTTATTAAAATTTTTTTTAAATATTCTCCATATGACAACATCCATATATGGAAAATATTTATAAACAGTAAAAATGTTAAAGATCGTGACAGATTAGGCGTAATTATGAAAAGTCTGATACTTCGAAGCAGCATTTGGATTATTGAAAGATTCTATTCTGTCCTAAAAAATATGTCACATGTATATAGACTTATACTATGAATGTATTTAAAAGTACATTAATTATAAATCAAATAATAATATGGTCATATGGTTATGGTCCGATACAATGGTCCGATGGTGGTCAAAAGGTAAAAAAAGATGAATCGGTAAACTTAGCATCTGGATTATATAATCGATAAACCAACTTATATGTCAAATCCAAGTAAGTTTTATATTTTATATAAGATATATTAAAAAATAATAATATTTTTTCAATTAACGGTATAATCAATATTTTATTTATTTTGTAGATAAAAAAAAACAATGTAAAAAAACGCGAAATAAATTTACTTTTAAAGCCAATAATTCAAGCTATGTTGGATCAAAGTGATGCCGAACAAAATGGCATAGTAGATGACAATAATGAAGATCTTATATGGCATATAAATAAAATGTCAAAATGTCACTATATTAAAATGAAGAAAGAATAAAACTTAGGGATAACGAAGAAATAGGTATTGACCAAGAATTCTCAAAAAATCTACTTACTTCTTCAAATCCAGTATTTAAATCAAATCGGTTGAGTTCCAAAGTAAGTAATTTTTCTTTTGTACGACGTGAGTGTATAATTAATTAAAATGATCATTTTATAATTTAGAATTTTTACATAGCATATAATTATATTAAACACATGAATTATATTTATATTATTTTGATGTAGATGAGAGCAGTAATTAATACGGTAAAAGAAATTATAAAAAAAAAGATAAACTACTTATAATTGTTTCGGAATGGTTAAGCATGTTTGAAATTCTTGGATCTCATTTATCTGCGATAAAAGGAGCTACGTATGCTGACATTTCAAGCAAAGTTTCTATTAAAAATCAACAAGTAAGAGATTATTCTTATTATTTGATTTATAATTAATGTACTTTTAAATACATTCATAGTATAAGTCTATATACATGTGACATATTTTTTAGGACGGAATAGAATCTTTCAATAATCCAAATGCTGCTTCGAAGTATCAGACTTTTCATAATTACGCCTAATCTGTCACGATCTTTAACATTTTTACTGTTTATAAATATTTTCCATATATGGATTTTGTCATATGGAGTATATTTAAAAAATTTTAATAAGTAGTATAAATCAAATTCTTTATTTTGTATTGGGCTAGCAGATAGTGCCCACCCACCTTTTATCTGCTGAAAGACCACACACTGCTTCAAATGTTTTAGTTTTAGGATTTCCACTTGAGCCATGCTAATGCATACTGCTGATGCGGCATTAGTTTAATTTTTAAACCTACTGGTCTTTTGTTGTGCGGTAATGTTTGTGTGGTCTTTTTCTCAATTACTTTAATTTGTCTTTTGTTTTTGCTGATTCCATATTATTAAATTTTAATGTTTTCATAGATTTTTTCTTTCTAAATTTACTAAAATTTTGTCTATATATTTNGAATAGAATCTTTCAATAATCCAAATGCTGCTTCGAAGTATCAGACTTTTCATAATTACGCCTAATCTGTCACGATCTTTAACATTTTTACTGTTTATAAATATTTTCCATATATGGATGTTGTCATATGGAGAATATTTAAAAAAAATTTTAATAAGGAGTATAAATCAAATTCTTTATTTTGTATTGGGCTAGCAGATAGTGCCCACCCACCTTTTATCTGCTGAAAGACCACACACTGCTTCAAATGTTTTAGTTTTAGGATTTCCACTTGAGCCATGCTAATGCATACTGCTAATGTGGCATTAGTTTAATTTTTAAACCAACTGGATCTTCTCTTATTATGTCTTCTGAAGGCTGGCCTACAAGTGATTCATGCAGATTTTGTAAAATCCTTCCGCTGGTAAAGAGTTTAGTTTATTATCTAATATTTTTTGTGGTCTCTTTGTGCGGTCTTTTGTTATGCGGTAATGTTTGTGTGGTCTTTTTCTCAATTACTTTAATTTGTCTTTTGTTTTTGCTGATTCCATATTATTAAATTTTAATGTTTTCATAGATTTTTTCTTTCTAAATTTACTAAAATTTTGTCTATATATTTTTTTTTTATCTATACTAAAATATGTTCTTGCAATTCTTTTTTCGTCTTCATCTGTCAATAAATACAAACTTGCAGAATTGGCGTGTAACTAAAAGTAAAAAACATTTTTAAAATTAATATAAAATATTACAAATGTATAAAATATATTTTCTTATCTTTAATTTAATCTATTTGTTTTTGTACTTTACAAATAAAGCATATTGTATTGTCTTGAACTTCTTGTGAATTTATATTACCAACTCCAATTTTCTCATTTGAAAATGACATTGCGAATGCGTTTTCTTCTTCGCTATTCCTTCTATTTGATAAATACACTAAAAGTTAATTTTACAATTTCTTATTATTAATCTTTTTCTTTAAGAAACTTTCTTTAGGAAGAGAGATAACGAAGAGATTGATATTGACCAACAATTCTCAAAAAATCTACTTACTTTTTCAAATCAAGTATTTGAATCAAATCGATTGAGTTCCAAAGTAATTAATTTTTTTTTTGTACGACGTGAGTTTATAATTAATTAAAATGATCATTTTATAATTTAGAATTTTTACATAGCAATTAATTATATTAAACACATGAATTATATTTATATTATTTTGATGTAGATGAGAGCAGTAATTAATACGGTAAAAGAAATTATAAAAAAGAAAGATAAACTACTTATAATTGTTTCGGAATGGTTAAGCATGTTTGAAATTCTTGGATCTCATTTATCTACGATAAAAAGAGCTACGTATTCTTAAGTTTCAAGCAAAGTTCCTATTAAACATTAACAAGTAAAAGATTATTCTTATTATTTGATTTATAATTAATGTAGAAAGGAAAATTAGTTTGTAGTGGTCCCCGAAGTGGGTCCCAGTCACCACAACACAGCACGTCCTCAGGTTGCGGATAAAGGAAGGGCCTATTGGTCCTGCATAGGGACGGAGATTAGCTGCGAATAAATTGAATAAACAGTCGCGAATAGCCGACTTGAAATTGGCCTTCTTTCGGGGGTTGGGCGTAGGTCTGATTAGCCCACACCGTAAAACGACTTTTATCACGAAACAATGAAAACCGCCAAACAAAAGCGATATCCGACGAAAATCTAAGAATGCTTTTTGCAAAAAAAAAAAAAACACACAACACACAATTATTAAAGCATTATTAATACAGGAATGAAATATTCTTTTATAACTTGTTAAGATATCCTTTTACAGTTTCAATGTGTTATCTCATAGTAGTATAACTCATCACATGCATAACAAACATATCATATTATTGGATATTTTTATATAGCAATGATATGGCTGTGGCTCTCATTTCGTATAAATAAATAAATATATAAATAATCTAATGATAGATTGAATGTTATTATTTCCATGTGTATGAAATAACACGATTTGTGAATATACTGTGAATTTATAAGATGTACGTTGTTTAAGAAACTACAAGTTTATTAATTATTAACAATAAACGACTTACAACGATGTACCTTTGCGTTTAGAGAACACCATATATAGATTACTGTATATTTATTCAGCTGACGAAGAAGACAGAGACAGTGTTTCTAACAATCAAAGAAATTTCTCTCTCTCTCTCTCTCTCTTCTCTCCCTCATTCAATGATACTTTTAAACTTATCATACTGTCGCATTTTATTTGTTATTCATTCTATTAAGAAATATGTATTATTATCAATTTTCAAAGATACGACATAAGACGACGGTTGTTTTTCAATTTGAATTTCAATTTTTAATTTTATCCGAGATTTATTAGATATACACATGAGATATTTTGTTCACAATTGTAATCTAATTCTCTTTCATATTTACAAGTATTTTCTTTCATCTTTTCATTAGAAATGATTGTTTCGATGTAATTTTTTCTTATTTCAAGTTGGTCGTATATATTTATCCATTGCACAGAATGTTTAAATCTTAAATTACGTCGACAAACTCTCGAGAAAATGATGAATAATGAGAAACCTTTTGTGAAAAGATTTTTCAAATATTTACAAATAAATACAATTATTGGTCGCGAATTGATTTCGATTGGAAGAAGTTCTTTTTTTTTTTTTTTAAGTTGGATCATTCGTTGATATTTTAATTAGTAAATAAATGAATGAATGAATTAATGTGAATGTGAGCACATATTACATATAGAAAAATATACTCGAAGCATGTTACTTTTTTTTTCTTTTCTTTTTTTTTTTTTTACTTCTTTTGGCAAAAGATCTTCTGCCGTGATTTTCTTTCTATTTACATTTACTAAATAATTCATATAATAATTTTAATATGACAGAAATCTGAAATAATCATCTCCAAGACAACGCGTTAATATAAAAAAGATAAATATTATATCTAATAGAAAAATCAATTCTATAATAATATGCTGCTGACACAATGATTTAGGGCAATGTGAGATTTTTCTTTTCTCTCTTTAGATTACATTTTATAGTTGCGATAGAGTTTCTTTCTATCATATCATATTATAATGTACGATAAAATTGCACAGCCCTAAACATAATGAAAAAATATCACAAATTATTCGCGTATTATAATTATTACTTGATGTTTCTTTAAGGCTAAAGTATTTAGTCCAGTAGAAAGATGCGTCTCTAATATTTGAAATAGAACATTTCAAATATTTCTAACTAACTCAATAGCAGAAATGAAAAGAATATATATATAATAATAATAATAATAATAATAATAATAATAATAATAATAATTGCATAAGAATAAAAATAATAAAGCGTATTTCAATAAAATAAATTTGAATAAACCTGGCTATGTGCTCATGTCGATCGCTAATTGCAACATTCTGTGTGCGTGTATAAATAATTATATAGACTTAATTGCTTATTATCTTTTACAATAGTACCAATTTGATCTTGCATGGCAAGTATACCTAATATATCTTACACGTCGCGTTTCATAAGCGCGTTCTAAACACATGCATTAATCATAATTAATAATTAATATTATTAGAAAAATTAGATATTGCATATATATAAATCTATTCATAAAGTAAATATTTGAGAGAAAGTACATTATTTACAAAAAATTAAAGTCCGGGATGATTTAAAAAAGATATACGAGTACATTAGTGTGATCTCGTTTTTTTTTTTTTTTTTTTTTTTTAATATAACGAACTAAGATTAAATTGATATTATAAATTATTTGCATACGATTATGCTGGATGGGTGGATAGCGTTTGTGAGAGAGGCATAGTCGGAGGAGTTTGAGTGGCCAAGACAGAAACGGGCGTTGCAGGAATTTGTTGATGAGTTTGTCTGGATGGAGAAAGAAGTTCTTGTTTATCCCTTTCTCTTTCTCTTCCTGGACGCCAAGCTTCTAGCAATGCCTCTACGCGTTCCTCGGTAGGACCCCATCTTGCAGCACCCGCCGCATTTTGCAGCCATACGACCAAAGTTCCATGAGCAGCCCTGATGTTAATTTCCCCTCTTAAATATAAAATAACATGATTTGTTATAATATCATTAAATGAAAAGATGTTTAATATATATTATTTAATTAATTAATAAATAAATACAAATATATAAGATAAATATGGATATTAAATATACTTTGGTAATATATGTTGATGTCCATGTCTGTATTCGTGTTCCATCGCAAGTACTACCACTTGTTTGCGTTTAAAATGACTACTTTCTAGCTTTATTAGAGCATTAGGTGCTGGATCTCGCCACTCGGGTAGAAATACAACAAAGGATAAAGGTTCTGCTGAATCCGCCAAGAGACGTTCAAAGTGATTGACCATTGCTTCCATGAGTTCTTCACAGTAGGGCGGATTAGCTTGAAAAGAACCGCTTACCGGTCTAAAATCCAAAAAAGGACCTCTCGAGCCGAAATAAGAGTCTGTGTCGGCAAATGTTGAACAATATTGTCTAAAGTAAGAATTTAAGGGAGAAGCAAAACACTCGAATGTCACGCCAAATGATCTTTGGAGGCACTCAAAAACTGTTACCGGCAGAGCCATTTGAGTAGCTTGTCCTTCGATACCAAGATATGTTTGGTATCGTTTTAACATACACCATACACGAGGTAAAAACATTTCAAATTTTTTATCATCGAAACAATTGTACCTATATAAATGTTCTAATTTAGTAAAGTGTGTATTATTAATGCACACTGTGTCACCATGAAAACGTAACATCGTTTGATCACGTTCCGGAAGATAATCCACTTGCGGAAGTCGAGGAGTAGGAAGAGAAAATTGCACCGGATAACACCAAACTTTTCTTTGAGTACTGGCTGGTCCCCCCAACGGTATAACATCCCCTAAACCACTGTCTTTTAATATTTGATTATTTTTATCCTTGACTTTTTTCGCATACTCTGTAGACAAGTGGTAAATTTTCAAGCAAATACCCTCGACGCTTCCTTTCACAGTTTCCGTAAGATGAGGCTGACATTGGCGTCTCAAATGAGCAAGTCGATCCTGAAAATCGTCGAACGTTGCGCCTACTGTTCGGCGTAGCCATTGAAACGTATCTTCCGCGTTCCATTTGACAACTTTCCTGCTTTCTGAAGATGCCGCTCTTGATTCAATCATTTTCTTAGCAGCTTCGGCATAACGAGACAATTGTTTTCTAGCATCGCCAGTAAATTTAGGTCTTATCAATTTAATAGGGATATCATTCATAATTTCGCGATACATCGACATTGAGATCTCTGGAAAGCACTGACTCGGCAGCAATGGATCTGATCCACAATCTATAACCTTACGTTCCATAAGCCATCGATTAAAAGAATCTTTAGGAGCATCTATCGACTCTCGCGTATGGCAAAGTTCTTGATAGCACATACGCAACTTTGTCAGTAAACCACATCTTAATGCTTCCACTTCGGGATGGACATGTGGTAAATTTGATGGAGCTCTTTCATGAATTATTACATTCGTCGCAATTTCAAGATCCCATGGGCCTCTGTTATATAAATAAAATAATATTTTGATTACTTCTTCTTTTAAACTTCTTTTCACTTTTTATCGAATATTATACATACGCTAAAACAAATTTCTTCGGAGCTGGTGCAGTACCATCTTCCGAAGCTCTACGCTTTACTCCACCACTGGGTGTAGTACAAAGAGGTATCGATCCATTTCCAGGAACAGGAGGTACACCGCAGATACCAAGGGGATCCGTTATAGGATCAAACTTGAATACAACAAATACATTGATAAAGACCTCTTATAACATTATAATATTACTTGTTTTAATATAATATTACTTGTCTATGCAATATACCTGAGATTTTAAAGAGGGTACGACCCATAAAGATTCACCGGTCAACTTGTTCCAAAAGTAAGGCCTGTTTTCTCGTTTACTCCAAAATTTTTTCCATCCTTGTTGTTGAAGTTCAGGCGAAAGTTCAAGATCGGAAAAATTTGTTGGCGCTAAGCCCTATTAACAGTAATTATATTTATAATAAATTACATTTTTCAACTTATTTTCAATTACTTGATCTCTTAACTTCTATTTACTTGAGTCATTAAAGGTGTTTGTTGCAAATGCCCAAGTTGGGAACAATGGTCGGTTACAGTTTGAGCCGTTGATAATATAGGAGGTTGAAGTTTAACCGGAGTAGGAACTATTACTTGCATAACCGTTGTATTTGTATCCTGCTGTAGCGTTTGATGATGATGATGAAGATGATGATGATGATGATGCATATTCGGCGCCGATGACAGTGACGGGGGCGTCGATAGACTTTCCCAGGCTGAAGTATTTCCCAACTCTTGCTTGTTACCACTTATTTCATTCATTATTCAATTGTCCTTTCTCCCAATGCACTTGAAACATTATTTGTAAGAGAATATTAATATCATGTCATATCCGTTAACAATACTTATGTATATAAATACAAAAGAGAAGGTAGAAAAAAGAAAAAGAAATAAAAGAATAGAAAAAGAAAAATACATTGACATGTAAGGACTATGCACCTGTTGAAAGTTTCTGAACTCCAAGAAAATAAACACATTTATATAATGGTAAATTCAATATTTACAGTTTACATTTAAAGAAAACTACAAATAGATTGAAATAAATTCTTAGATTTATTTAATAAGTTTGATTTTCTTTTAAATACTATCTGACAGTAATTGATATTTTCAGGTTTGTTTACATTCTTTTTAAGCGCCCACTAATAATCAGTAAATATCTGAAATCTATGCATTTCTTAATTATCTATATATGATACTATTGTAATATACAACTTACCGATTAATAACACACGTAATTAAAATAAGATATGAGACGAACGTTAGAATTCATTCATGATTCGTGAAATTCGACGCAATGATCTCCACCTACGAGACGCCATTTTCTTGAACTGATCAACCAACTATCCTGGCAGATACTAAAAGAATTCTCGCGCATGCGCAATAGTTTTCCAAAGCGGGACGTGTACAGTCGAACCATTTGCAATCGACCTCGAATACAATAAAATATTTTTTCAAAATTATTATAAATTATTTCCATTTTTAATTTATTCATTTCACTAATTATTTCCATATTAAATTAAGAGAAAATAAATGGATATTATTTTCATATAAATTCTTGTTTCTAAATATTACCAAAAGGATATAAATAATAAACATTTCTCTACTTCCTGGACATGTAATACGAGTTCCTAGATATTAAAGCAAGTATATTTATTAATGCATATTTTATTTTTATTTTCTCATTTTTCTAAATGTTAAATTCATCTTTTTGTCTTCTCAAATTTTGTATTATTATTTCTTTTAAATAATCTCAAAATTTTTTTCGAGCTTTCTCATATTCATATAAGAATATGGGATATAAATATTTGTTATTTTCTTGAATCATAATACGGTATTAAAATATCTAAAGCATAAACGATGCAAGTAATTTAGATGAATTTCTATTAAATTTGTCCAGATCGAATGCAAGACGACAACGCCACCTGGATGAATTTTCTTGAAACATTCTCTAACCTAAAGTAATTAAAATAAATGTACTTTGTTTCAAATCTCGTAACTCGTAATCATTAATACTTCGTGTTAAGAACAATATATATATATATATATATAATTATGCATATATTAAAACTTCATTTATTGATTAAAATTAACCAATATTTAATAAACGTTGATGGGATTATTTAAACTAACAATAAGACATCCTTTCTAGTATTTATTTCGTTCTGCCATATCGAGGTCACTGAAAATTTCATTTCTTTTTGTAACTCTATAAATAATAAACATTAGTATATTTATATTATAAACTATATAAAATAATAATTAGATAACAATTAGACGTAATTATTTAATACACTCACTAATTGTAACATATCTGATTTTGACAGGTAAAGAAAATAATCGATGGTCGATAATCGATAGTCGATAATCGTTCCGATCTTATAAGTTTTAAATGGAGAAAAGACGCGGGATATAATTTGACCTAACAAAATAAGAGCGCATGCACTTACCACGTGCACGTGCATGCAAGTAGTGACCACCTGCAGCAAAAGGATCATTATCGCGAGAACTTAAGTATGCATCGTGTCGCTAGCGTGCATATACATGAACATATATATGTATGTATGTATGTATATATAGGTATATGCGCACGTGCAGAAAACATTCTCGCGTACACAAATGCAATGTAATTATCGTCTGACGGCTTTCAAAGAAAACGAAGCGAAATATGCCAGCCGAGGATGTTGTTTAGAATCAGAAATAGAGGCCACTGTGTTCACAAACTTACAAAGAGATTCGATTTGATGTAGCTAAGCGGCTGATCTCCCAACAGATTAATCTCTCTTTTATGTTCTTTTTTTATATTTACTAAGTATATATCATGTGTACGGTATACATTTATATACACAAGAGATCTGTGATATTTTTGTAAAGAAAATAAAAAGAGAAAAAACAAGAAAAAAGAGAGAGAGAGAGAGAATTAAGTTGATCGTTTAGTTCTTTGCTAAAACAATATTGTATAAATAATAATATTTACTGTTTAGTATCTTTTTTTAAAATAGCATTGTCCATCTATCCTAATGTAACATATTCGAGGAACATGTTCAATATATCAAGTTCTTGAGTTAGGATTAGTCACTAGTTGGCAAAGTGTATTGCAAAAATAAAAGAACGATCAAGATTGAAAGAGAGGGATCTCTCGATCCGACAACAGTTGGAACAAGGAGACTCCATTTATGACGTAGCTTTGTATCTTCCTTATAATATTTATTAATCTAAACGTATGTTAAATCAACATTTAAATTTATTTGCATAACAAATCTGCGTTTAAGAAACGGAATAGAAGTTCTTTGTTTTTTTTTTGTTTACGAATGTTTTGACAAAAGTATTTTTCTGTTTTTTTTTTTTTAGCTTATACACACATACGATTTACAATGTAAAATTGTTCGTAATCTTTGGTAGATAAAAATGACATGACCATTTTCGTATGTTTTTACTTTCAGAGAGCCGTAAAGTTTACGAAGATATCGCACATGCTGTGTGCCTGTGCTTCTTGTGCCTCGCTGCTTTATTTTCGTCGTCCCAAAAGCCAACGTGGATTCGTGGAAGAACCGGTCGTTTCGAAATCCACTGCAGAGTATTGAGAGGACGAAAGAGAAAGGGGCAAGGGAATAAAGAAAATGGACGAAGGAAGGGTGGGGAACGAAGACGAATTAAGAAATCAACGAACGTAAAGAAAAGCCGGTGGTGTTTGGCCGACTTCCAAAATTCGTGACAACTAACGCAAGATTTGTTGCTGCGAAATCTTCCTTTTTACCATTTTATCCTTTCGTAAACAAAACTTTACAAGCTTTACAATATACTCGTTTAAGTATATATAAATCGCGTAAATAGGTAAATGAAAATTAAATTATTCGACAGATTGATAATCTATTGTAAATATATCATCTTATTTTCTTTCTTTTTTTTTCATTCTTTCTTTTCTTTTAGCGTTAATACAAAGATAAAAGGAAAATAGTATACATTTATATCGTATCTTTGTTAAAAAATAAAATAAAATTATTCGTAAAAAATCTTCTTTTTAAACTTAGTTTCGTGTGCTTTGTATGCGTGTTTGTACGTTAGACAAAATTAGAGCGTTTCTGTTTAATTCTCTTATACGCGTGTAACAACATACCTATATCTATCTTTTTATGCATCGTAAATATATATATATATATATATATATATATATATATATATTATTAGTAAACGTTGATATAATATATTTGTATAGGTATATTTTGTCATTACTTAGTTGCACGTGCTTTCATCGCATCAGCACCATACTTCTATGTCCCAATCAGGACTTAAGCTTATAATCTAAATCACAATTAATTTGTTATACTTTCATCGTACGTACGTTTCTAGTACTATCGTTCAGTTCTCTCGTCGTTGGCTTTATTTCATCTCTACGCGCAAGCAATTTATCGATTATTTGATTTATCGTCGATAACTTTAAAAATTGAAATTACCGTTATCTCGAGTAGCGTTATTACGATCGTAGTATATATAGCCCAGAATATTTTGAAAAAAGCGAGCGAGTGAACAAACGAACGAACGAACGAACAGCCTTGAAATCTCATCCTTTCCTATGCAATAATAATATGCATAGAAGGCACTGTGTACGCTGTATACATCGTATAGGTATAATGGCACGCATTAGCAAGACAAAAGACCTCGAATTCCTTCTCACTTTCTCTGGACTACAATTGTAAGTCTTTTAAGTCGCAAAAATATAAATCTTTATGAGGTATCGGAAGTCTCATTGCTTCTTATCAAGCACGTCCTGTTTCAATGTACAAAATAAAAATATTACATAAGGATATAATATATAATATATAATATATAATATATAATAATAATAATAATAATAATAATAATAATAATAATAATAATAATAATAATAATAATAAATACATAAAGATAAAAGAGAAAAAATACTCGAGAGGGATCATATAAAAGATTGTGGTCGCAACATATGATGGAACGATTCAATTGATACCTGTATAAATTCAAGCTTGATCCCATATTTTAAAATTGTTCCGAAACAGTCATTATTTGACAACCAGAATGAACGTGATCCATCACCTGTTCCTTGAGCCGACAAATTTGTTCCTTGAGTTTATGCACGACCGTACTCAATTCGCAATTCTCGGCCTTGAGAACTTTGACCTTGTCCTCCAGCCTGGAAATACGTTCGAGTTTGCGCCTGCGACACTTGGAAGCGGCCACGCGATTCCGTTGCCTCTTCCTTTCGAGTTTGATCCTTTCTTGATTCTCCATGTCTATCGGTGACATAGGCGGGGAACTGGAAACGCTTGGTACCGTTTGCGGTTCGTCCTTTATTTGCATGAGTCCTTGACTAACCGAGGATTCTGTGCCAACGCTTTGAACGCTACCGGGTGGCTCCAAAGTCGTATAAGTAGCACCGTAAAAATTAGAGGGTTCTTGAGAGCTATCCGAATGATGTAGCTCGTTTAGAGCATCGACGAAGCCACGAGCATAAAGTTCTTGAGCTTCAGTCACCACTTTTGGAAAAAGTATTTGGACCGTCGGTGTGGGCAAGGATGCGACGACGCCCTCGGTGTTGCTGGCACCATTAGCATCCTGTTGTTCGATTATCAACCTCTCCAATTCCGGCGATCCTAGTTTCAGCATGTTCAAATCCGGCGAGCTCAAAATCGGTGCTATGTTGTTCAAGGTTGTTGGTAATGGCCCTAATTTCGATGTTTTAACTCGTAACTCTTGCCTCGAGCTGTTTAAATCCAACGTTAAATTATGTTTGCGTAGACCCACGTTATTTTCACGACTCGCGCCTCTGTAATTGACGTTAGGGTCTTCATTAAATATCTGATCCATTGTTCAATTATTTACCATCGATATCCTAGAGAATAGGTCTTGTTTCGTTGACAGCAGGTCCGAAGGTCGGCTCTATCTGCCTGTTGTCTCTTGTCTTGTCTTTTATTTTCTCTCTTTGTCCTCCCCCCTCTCTCTCTCTCTTTCTCTCTCTCTCACTCTCCACTCTCTCTCTCTCTTTTTCTCCAATACGCTCGTTTACTCGCTCGTTCGACACTTTGGTGAATCACCAATTCGAAGCGCGTCTTTCGTTGAATGTTTTTACGCCGTAACCAAGAGCATATAGATCCGGTTCGATAAAAAAAAAAAATCTTTCCGAGAGATTTGTCCAGTGCGTTGAATTTTTTTCGAAATATTACGATTTTCTCTCTCTCTCTCTCTTTCTCTCTTTATTCTGACGCAAGGGCAGAGTTACATAAGCGTATCCAAAAACGAGTTCCCTTTTACTCGAAGACGCGCGTGCATCACGCGCGTACAATATCTCGCATACTCTCTCGCGCTTCTTATAAATATCGAATGTAATTTATATTTCAATTCTTCAAACGCGCGGTATCTTCGATGTTTTTCTACGGTATTCGTTTTACTCCCACTCCTGTATACGTCACTGTGGGCGTGGATGCATCTCTTTCTCTTTCTTTCGTTCTCTCTCTCTCTCTCTTTCTGTCTTTCTTTTTCTCTCTCTCTCCCCCTCTCACACTCTCTCACTCCCTCTTTCCTCAATTATTATATTTTTCTTCCCTCCGCAGACAAGTTAATAGAAAAAACTTAGGGCACGATAATGAATCATTGTTAACGCGTGCAAAGGGTGCAAAAGCAAGTGTAGCAAAAGCAATTTTCAACGGGTCGAAAGAAAAACGGTTAACACCTACGCGTACGCACGTGTCAAAGCTAATGTATATAGTAGAACGCTTGGTAAAAGATAGGAAGCGTGAACGCGCAACTGACACTACGCTGCTGTGTCTTATGCTCGTACCACGTTATGTCTATGGCAACTTGTGAAAACCCAACTAAAGCGACTACCTTGTATTCTATGACTCATCCCGCTATAAATAATATCGTCGTCACGAGACAACTCTCTCATTGGTCGACGATGACGTATAACTTAATCCCGATTGGTTGAGCAAGAAGCGCTACCAGGAATTGACTGGCGCATGCGCCCTAACTGATCTTTGACGGTCTTGGCGGAGGGATCGTTTGAAAGTCGCGATACGCGCATTTTAGGCCGCATTTCCGTCCTTTTTATCTATGCAATAATTATTTGACTTATTATTTTCTATATTATACATTTGCGAAAGTAATATTTAAGTGATAACGATCGTCGAAATAGTTCTATTAGATCGTTTATCGATATCGAACATGCTTGCAATTATTAGCCAAAATATCGATTATATAATCGTTTTTTTAAAGAATTTCAATAAAATGTATCCAACGCGATAAAGGATTTTTCATTCGATCATAATGTAGCCTGCAATATTTGGACTAAAAAACGATAATGGGGCACCAAATTATGCAACTAAATGCGATAGTTTAAGGATAAAATCTACGGAAATATAATTTAGTTTCTACGCCGACGTTCAAACGCTCCCTCCGTCGAAAGTATTCGATCGGTTACTGCGCATGCGTCGACCAATTCCTAGTAGCGCGGATCGGCCAACCAATAGAATAAGAGGAATGACGACACTAACAACCAATTAGAGAAGAGAATGGTGACGACATTGCTATTAATAGCGACGATGAGTCATGGGATAAAAGCCAGTACCTTTGGTTAGTTCTTCACAAGTAGTCGAAACGTCGCGTGATACAGAGTGCGTTACGTTTACTATCAACAACTCCCCTATAGGCGTGACACGCGTCCTAACACGTAGCAATTGCGTATCTACCATTTTCCTTCTTCTTTCTTTCTGCCTTTGCTGTCTCTCCCTCTTATCCTCTCTCCCTTCTTTTTTACTCTTTTGACATAGCACGCAGCTAAGAGTGATTCATCCTCTTGTGTACTCTGTTGCTCTGATCGGCGGCTTTTAAGTTGTCAATCGAGCAACGAGAAAAACGCGCACGTACAATTTAATCCACGTTCGACGTATCGTTGGAAAAAAAAAGGAGACGACAAAAAGTCTGGTAGCGGGAAGGAGTAGAGAGCAACGCCTGTGGTTAAACATCAACCGCATACGTGAACTGAATTTATTGATATTGTCTGCAATAATCATTTGCTACTAGTATAGTATTGTTCTTTGGTGCAGCATATTCTTGCATTAGAGACAAATAAAAAGGCAAGAAGAAAATAAAAGTGAAATAACTGTTGGTTATGTAATTTTGTCCTTGAGATAGGATCGAAGAAAAAAAGAAAGAAAACCGTCGTCGGAGAAAACGATAACGGGTAATAACGGGCGATAACGGGCAATAACGGGCAGGCGGCGACTTTCCTTCACCAACCGGATTTGCCCTCGTCCTTGCGACTCGCGTACTATTCCGTCGGGAGGAAGAACGCGTCCTGAATTTCCAATTGATCGGAACGCATTGCCTACAAATCGTCGACGACGAGAAGGGTGCGTGCGTGCCTTGGCCGAAAGTTGAAGGAACAAAAGAAGAGAAGGAGAGGGAAAGAACGACCACAAGCGTCCGAAAGTAAGCAAGCAAGCAAGCAAGCCAGTCGGAGATCAGAGCGCACCCAGGAGTGAGAACGGGGAAAGAGGGGAGTGGAAGGACTTCCTCGGCAACCTTCGAATTGTTATCGACGAAAAACCGTTTCGTGGCACCGATGGTACGAAATCTGACAATGGATCAAACATTTTACGAGGACGCTTCGAGCGTTTATGGTGTTGTTAATCGTGAAAACAATATGAATCAACCTAAACGTAATCTTACATTGGATTTAAACAGTTGTCAGAGACAAGGACAACAACAAACTAAAAGACCAAGATTAGGTCCCTTGCCGACGACTTTGAACAACGTAGCACCGATTTTGAGCTCTCCGGATTTGAATATGTTGAAACTCGGATCGCCAGAATTGGAAAAGTTGATAATTGAACAGCAGGATGGTAACGGGAGTATCGTTGCATCATTGCCAACACCAACTGCTCAAATACTTTTTCCAAAAACTGTTACGGAAGCTCAAGAACTTTATGCTCGAGGCTTTGTCGATGCTTTAAACGAGTTACACCATTCGGATAGTTCACAAGAACCCAGTAGCTTGCACGGTGCTACATATACAACTTTGGAGCCACCCGGTAGCGTGCAAAGCGTCGGCACGGAATCCTCGGTTAGTCAAGGACTCATGCAAATAAAGGACGAACCGCAAACGGTACCAAGCGTTTCCAGTTCCCCGCCTATGTCACCGATAGACATGGAGAATCAAGAAAGGATCAAACTTGAAAGGAAAAGGCAACGGAATCGCGTGGCCGCCTCCAAATGTCGCAGACGCAAACTCGAACGTATATCCAGGCTGGAGGACAAGGTGAAAATTCTCAAGGGCGAAAACAGCGAATTGAGCACAGTAGTCCATAAACTCAAGGAACACGTTTGTCAACTTAAGGAACAGGTGATGGATCACGTTCATTCTGGCTGTCAAATTATGACCATTTCGGGCCAGTTTTGAAAATTGGATTGTTTATTATGATTAAATGAGAGGTTATCGTAAAACCGCAGAAAGTTTCGTGGAACGAATTAAAAAAATATCATTGATTTTTTTATACACTGGGTAGTAGTTCGGTCTCGAAAAATTCCTTCGATTCTTTTTTCTTTTTTTTTTTTTTATTATTATTATTATATTCCATCTCATTTCTTTCATAGAATTTTAAACGAGATAAGGACACGTGCCGTATCAAGAATTCTTTTTATTTCTTTCTACATTACCTACATACAAAAACACACACATACACATGCATACACAACAAAACATAATACAGTATAGGTGATTTTCTTGCTTTAAAACTTCTTTTTCTTTCTTCTCTTCTATGTTAGTCATTTATCAATGGACAATGACGAATGAAAAATAGGATAAAACGTGTCAAACAGATGATTCTGCGCTCTATTGACTATTAACGTAACGAATCGAAGGACGCAAAAGAATGCTAGAGAGAGAAATGCTTTTTATATTTTCGATTTCTTTTGTAAAAAGTAAAAAAAAAGAAGAAGAAGAAAAAGAAAAGAGTCACCCGTTATATATCGAAACGCATAAACTTGTTAAGACTTGTTAGTGAATCGAGATGCGATATAACCGAGAAGGAGAAACGTGTGCACGTGGGTTAATGCGTCCTTGAATGAATGTAACTCTGTGTATTATGATGAGTGTATGTGTGTGTGTGTGTTGTTTGTGTGCGAACACAAAGCTGCTAAAAGATAAAAAAGAAACTAACAATATAAGTATCTACCTCTGCTCGCTAAAAGGATATATAATATACGACGTGTGGTATTAAGCATTTACAAGCCGCTTTTTCTCAGAATGGACAACAACAACTGACCAACAATTTTAATTTGTTTACTTCTACGTATAAATATATATGTAATATTTTTCTTTTATTTTCCTTTATTTTTTTTATTTTTTTTTTTTTTATTATCTTTTATCTTATCTTTTAAGATCTCTTTTAACGACTAATGTTCTGTTTTAATGACTATACATATATACATACATACATACATATATATATTTTGTTTCTTTTCATTCAGAATTATTATTACTAATTACTCGTGAAGTATTATTATTACCGTTTGTACATTTTATTATTACTCCATTTTATTTTATTATCTGTCTGTTGTATCTAGTCTTATGTTTCATGGGACAAAATTTGGAAATTTACACTAAAATATAAAATATTCAAAAAAAAAAATATATATATATATATATGTATATATGTAATGATTAATATGAAATGAATATGAAATATATATGTATAAATATATATATATATATACATACGCGAGTATGTATAGCAATTATTATTGTATTGTTGAGGTGCTTAATGGAAACAACAATCAATACAGTATTGTCCCTTTAAATTTATTCATTGATATTTTATTCCACCCTATTAAAATGAAATTATTTTGCGAAAACGTCTATATTATACATTTATTATATATATATATATATGTTAATTGTGAAAGAAGAAGTAATGTATAAAATATTTTGTCATATTTTAACTAATGTGTAAAAATGATTACAAATGGTGTGCCTTGTATACGTTAAAATGCGTCGCGAGGAATTTTTAACATTACAAAGATCGTCCATATATGAGCCTTTCAGTGCACACATCGATTAACCCCATAAAACCAAAAGTTGAGAAATGCGATGAAATAATGTATATTTTTGTATTACTTATTATTCAATGGCCAAACAAATGTTGCCATTTAATGGTGTTAATTTTTATTATTCAGGAAAGTTATGACTATACCAAGTGCTTTCACACTTAAATTTAAGATTTTTCAAAAAGTGGATTTAATCGATGTGTTCACTGAACGGCTCATATATCTATATCTATATATATATATATATATATATATATATATATACATACACATATACATATGCTTTTTATTTTTTCAACCTATGCCTTTGGATTAGATTGTAATTTGTAAATCGATCGATAATATTGGCTTATTGTAATAAAAAACAACAAATATTATATAATATATCTAACAATAGATTTACGGATATATTTTATTTATTAATTTGTAATGATTTACAAAGATTATTATTTTATATGAAGAGTTGAGTAAAAGGAAGTAAATTTAATATTGACATATATTTTCATTATGTAATTAAAAACGACAACACATGTATGTTTATGAAAAAAAGAATATTTCATTTTTAAAGGAATATTGTGAGTTCAAATTAGCTCAGTCTGTAAATCTAATGTTAAGGAAGAAAAAAGAAAAAAAGAAAGAAACATGAAATGCGAGAAAGAAAATGAAAAAAAAAAAAAAGAACGCTCAATGCCAAATTTCTCATATTTTAGTAAATAATACACGTTGACAATTTTTATTAACAATTATATGTATAGAGACTTGTAAATTGTGTAAATCTCTTGATGACGATGGTGTTGTATAGTTGTCAACGATGGACCCAACGATGACGAAGAAAAGCGGATAGGACAAATTTATTAAGTTAATTATAACATGTGATCCAGTTAGTAAGTTTAAAAATTAAAAAATAAACAAAAAAAAGAATAAAAAATAAACAACATTTAGAATTTATAGCGGTATTGGTGCTTAGAAGACGATTATCGCCGTGCGAGCACGCGTAGATATACGATTTGTAGAAAATAACGCTTTTATATATATACACATATATATATTGTATCAACATTATACATTGTATATATGTTGAAACAAAGCTAAAGTCTTTTTTTACGAATAATTTTATTTTTGAATGAAATACAATGAAAATAAAATTTTATTTATATTCAATTGAATTGTTTTTTTTTCTTTTTTACATTTTATCAACATACCTTTTTCTCTTTTATTGCCAATATATATATATATATATATATATATATATANTATATATATATTTATCAAAGAATTTTCATTTTAATCATTTTTTCAAATCTATAGTCAAAAATATCAATTGAAATGTCAATTATAATAAAAAATATAAAATGTTTACTTGCATTGTAAAGAATTGATAATAATATTGTTGTTATATTTTTCTCAAGTGACTTAAGTTATTTTTATTTACAGTTAACAGAAATTTTCAAAATACGTTAATCACAAAAAATACTTGAATTTATTATATATATCATTTATAGAAGTAAATTATAAAGACACAATATATAATATATTTATCTAAACAAATTACTATACGAATTCTTGTCCACCCCTTTATTTTTCTTACCACTTATTTGTTTTATATAATAATTTTAATTTAAATGTATCATTTGTCTTGAATTAATTAACAAGAGGATTGTTCGTGGTAAGGCATATTAAAAAAATTATATATTTAAATTATATATTAATTCCAAATGCGATTACAAAGATTAATTTATTAATGCGAATAAATTATTATTATAATATATTAATAATAATAAAATAATAAAAATATAATAATTATATTATTAATATATATTATATGTATTACTATATTAATATTAATAAATAATGTTAATAAATATAATTAATATTAATAATATTATAATATGATATTATTAATTAATATTATATTAATAATAATATATATATAATAATAATAATAATAATAATAATAATAATAATAATAATAATAATAATAATAATAATAATAATAATAAAAGGATGACAAGAATTGCAAAGTAAGTAAAACAATTTTAAACGATGAATTGCAATTTGATTACAAAGAATAGAAAAAACAAAATTCAATCTAGCTAATGTACAGAGAAATCAAATATACGATTAATTTTCTATTCTACAACGAATAAATTTTATTAGATTTTTAAAAAATGTCATTTTTAATTTGCAAATTTTTTATCAAATTTTCATACGAGTTATTATTACTCTTTGTTAATTAATTATAAGAATTATTATTAAAAGCCAAATAATAGGAACTATTTATTGTTTTATTAACTTCAACGAAATTGCACATAAATAATTCTCTCTCTCTCTCTCTCTCTCTCTCTCTCACAAACACACATACACACACACATACGATTTATCGTAAACTATAACAGCGTAAAATGGTGAGATCAATATTTGATTTAAAATTCTAATTGATTTGTTTTTTTCTAAATACATGTCACGTTAAAGCATATCACGGTGTCAATGCATAATTACATCAAACAATATATAAATTATTGCCACAAGGAAAATAATAAATAAAATATTACATTTAACAACAAAATACGTAATATATCGAAGTAGTCTACAAATTTTAGGAAAAGATCATTTTTATTTAACTCTCATTTATTTACATTGATGTGAAAAAATTCGGATGGTTGTTTAATTGGACTCGAGGTTGAACAAGAAATGTATTATTATTATTTATATGATTTCGTTTATGCTATGATTCCTAAAATAAGATTTTCTATATATGTATGTATACGTGTATATATATATATTAGATCGAGTTACAAATAACTTCCATTTTTTATGAGACAAACAATGGCGTTTTTGCGACTGATAAAAGTTCAAGACACCTTTCATGGAGCTTTTTTTTTTTGGAACTCTTTGCAATTGTTGAACGTATCTAATTGGATTTTGTTCCAATATTACCTTTAAAAGGTTCATCAAAGTCGGAAATACTCTCCTGCACTCGGGTTCATCTTTTAAGATCGTATCTTTAGAACGAAATTTGACAAACCAATTTCTGACTGCCCTATCAGTTAACAGTCCTGTACTGTATACGCTGTATATTTTTTCAGTTGCTACCTTAGTGCTAATTGCCTTGTTTCAATTCCTAAAGCAACAATTACATGTCGATTATGCACTTTTTACTATCCAATTACAGTGGTTAAGAAAAACGGTTAAATATAACATTGAACTGCATAAAAATGTTGACAGAAAATTAACTGAATCCTCATCTATACAGTGATATTGAAAATCCGTTTGTTTCGGTGACTTATAATAGGTAAATACGAAAAATAGATTCTACGGAAGTTACTTATGACTCGATCGAATATATATATCTATTCTTTTTTTTTTTTGGTAATATCATCCGCATACCACGTAATAAGAGTATTTATTATCTAAGAAAGTGAATAAATGCAAGATAAGTAAAACGAGGAATGTTAAGATCAAAGTTATTAAAGATAAAAGATTAAAAAAAAAGTGAGATAATTGTTCAAATTTACAATATGTGTTTTCACTAATAATTGATCTGTATTTGAAAATATCGTGAAAAAGAAAAGAAAGGAGGATAAAAAAAAATTAAAAAAAAAAAACATATCAAAGATATTCATCATCCATCTAACTTATAATAAACACAATCGTACTTTTAACTTGAAAATATGAATTCCTTTGTTTAATTTATTATCTACGCATAGTTTACAACTAACAGTAAGTTGATTGTGTTTTTTTTTCTTTTGTTTTTGTTTGTTTGTTTGTTTGTTTGTTTTTTTTCCTTTTATATATCAAATCAATTTACACGATTTTGATTGAAAATAATAAGTAATATTGCTAATTACAATCTGATATTTCCCGATATAATTTGTTGATATAATTCGGGTGTAACTTCGACGTATCCTTTATCAGATCTAAAATACAATTTATCTTGAATCTTATTCGGATCGAATCCCTCCTTTTGAAGATTTATTTTTTTCAATTTAAACGTCGTAGTCATTTCTATTTCTTTAACAATCCTTAAGAAAATTGGTCTAGCGTAAGAAGGCAAAGCTTTGTCCAAACCTTCGGCAAGTGCTTTAAAATCAATTAAATTTTCTGGATCAACTATCGCTGCCATACCAGCTTTTCCTTCCAATCCTGGTATCTATTTTTAATAATAATATAAATATAATTGTGATTACTTTTATATTAATTAAAGATTAATAAATTTAATGACATATCAAATGTATATGTATGTGTATTTTCAAAATGGCAAACCTGTACTCCATAAACGATTGCGTCTCTGTACCCAACAACATTACTAATAACACCTTCTACTTCAGCAGTAGCTACATTTTCACCTTTCCATCTAAAAGTGTCACCTGTTCTATCCTTGAAGTAAAAGTATCCAAGTTCATCTTGTACTAGAATATCACCTAACAATAAAACACAAATATATAAATATAATATATTATTTACTATTATGTATATGAATATACTATCAAATGATACAATGTTACTGCTAACCTGTAAGAAAAGCTTTGTCACCCTTGCAAAATACATTTTCAACTATTTTCTTTTGCGAAGCTTCTTTATCCAAATATCCATTAAATTCTCTTACAGCATGTCCTTGTTTTATCAATCCTACGAGCATACCTGGCTCGTCTAAAAAAAAGAAAAAAAAAATATAAACATTTAATGTTTTCAAATGTTAACATCATTATTTCATAAATTTGAATAATTCAATATACTAATACATACTTATTTCAGTTCGTATGCAAAATCCGTCTTTACCCCTTATCGGTTCAGACGTATCAGGATTAACACGAATCAGAGCAATTGGATGCAGAAATTTCGGTAAGAACGATGGAACAAAACCAATTGCACCAACTTGATTGTCAATGTTAACTGTGTATGAATATAAAATTAAATTAATTAAAAATAAAAATGTAACAAAAAAGATCATTTTAATAGAAAATAATTAATTACTCATATTAGCGTTGCCTTCGCTAGATCCATAAACTTCAGAAACTTGTTTTATGTTAAAACGATCAACGAATTGTTGCCAAATTTGTGGCTTCATACCATTTCCGACCACGAGTCTTATCGAATGAGCAGTGTCTTCCGGTCTTGGCGGAGCTTTTATTAAATATCGACACATTTCACCGATATATTGTGCTAACTGAAAACAAAAAAAAGAGTTATGAGTTATATATATATATTTATTTATTATATACTAATACTATACTAATTACTATAATAATTTATAATATTAATATAATATAATTATATAATATATATATATATATAATGAATAATAATAATAAATAAAAAATAATTATAAATATAATAATTATAATTAATTTGAATAATATAATAGTATATATATACTATATATTATAGTAATAATAATATATTATATTATATATATAGTATATATTTAAATATATATTGTCGTAACACTTACAGTGCATTTATATTTGATACAATCGTCCCAATAAGCACTGACAGAAAATTTATTTCTCAAAACACTTGGAATACCTTTTGCAAGTGCACAACCCGTTCCTACTATTCCACCAGACATATGATATAATGGTGTAGAATTATAGAAAATATCATAATTAGCCTTCAATCCTAACATATGATAAGTTGCCGTTATGACGAGTAAGTATCTGTTAATTAAAAAGATTCAATTAGACATTTTTATTTTATATCTAACAATAAGAATAAAAAAGAAAAAAAAGTTACATATTATTTTTATCATTATTATTATTTTGTTTAAACTAAAGAAACCAAATCGGTTATAAATTTTCTCACTAGTAAAAACTTTTAAAAGTTCATATACAGACAATGAGACTTCGTCATGTAAAGCAACTAGATCTGCATTAATCTGATTTGCAAGCAGTTATATGGCTTCTATGACAAGATTATGAATAGTTTATTATACTCGGTATGAGTGCGTCTATGATCTATGTACTATGCATCAAATACATTCATGTACGATATATAAAATACATATATGTATATGTATAAACTAATGAATAACAATTAAATAAAATAAATTATACCTCGAATTTGGTATAATGGCTACTTTGGGTAAACCAGTTGTACCACTGGTATATATATACAACAAATTATCTTTAAAACCAGGCTCATTATCAACCTCTGGTTCTTTAGTACTAGCATCTGCTAATAATTTATCCAAATCTGTAACATCTTTGTTAGTTTCTTTGATATTAGCACCGTGTTTATATTTGGTTATTCCTTTAAGAGTATCTGAAATTTCATCGATTGCTGAAACAAACAAACAAAACAATGAATTTTGTCAAATTAAATCTTTAATTTTAAATAGATATGGAATATTTTCATTTAATTTATTGGATTGGCAAGAAAGTTATTTCGGTTTTCTAATGTGAAATATTACTTTCTTGCCAACCCAATAATATTATAATATATAATAATATATATATTATATTATATTATAATATTATATATTATATTATATTATCTAACATATTATTATATTATTTTATTATTTTTATATATTATATTATTATTAATTATATAATATATAAATTATTATTATTATATATTTTTATATTTATTATATTATTA